TTGAACTCACTGATGAGGAAACAGAGACATCTGGCAGGTTAAATGACTTGGTTGAGGTCAGACAGGGAAGATCTGTCAAAACCAAATGTTGAGTCAACCTAGAGACTTCATGCAGACTCCCTCTACTCTCCAAAAAGAAGAGATATATAGAAAAGAAAACAATATCTATCTCCAGGGCTTAATTAATCTGCAGGTAAAGGCAGGTCATACATGCAAGATCCTATTAAGGCTGCTAAGAGAAACATGTGTCTGTGGGGAGTGGCCTGAGCAAGACCAAGGTACTATTTTTATTCCAAGAGAATGAACCCCATCCCAGTGGGACCTTCCCAGGCTTCTTCAAACCAAGGAGGGGGAAGATGAGCTGTGCCATGGGGAAAAAACACCAGCTATTTCATTTTTTTTCTATAGGGTTTTGTTGTTGTTGTTGTTGTTTTGGACATCCCAGAGCTTTTCAGATGCCCAGATCTGCTACTCGATTTGTATTTCTTGGGTCTGGCTGGCTGGGTCAGAGCAGGAGAAGGTTCTGTACTACACTGAGGTGTTGAGCTGCGGGTTGGAATGAGAAAGAGACAAGGTGCCTCAAAATATACAGCTCATAATTTCCAAATCAAAATGTCCAGTTCAGCTGTTCAGGGGACAAACATAACTATGAGACTTTTTTAAAAAGTGAAGAGATTTGAGAAATATTGGTTGAAAATATGCATAACTTTATTTTTTTTAATTGTCATTATGGATAAGGGCAAAAAGGAAACAGATTTTTTTGCTATTGCTTTTGGTTACACTTGACTCTAAAACTACATTTTTAATGGATAAATAAGATACCAAGAAGAGGTTAGGCATGACAGAATCATTGCAGTGAATTTCAGAGATCTTCAGCTAAGAGAGAAAAGTGCCCCCAGAAGATAACCCAGACCTCTTTACTGACCACATGGATTTAACTCTAGCACCTCTGTGAAGTCAGGTGAGGAGACTCTTATCCTCAGCCTTCATCTCTGCTTCTTACCCGAGTCCTTGGATAAGTCACTATGGCCTTTATCTATTTCTTAGGTTGGAGAAATACTTCAGGACACCCAATAACTTTGCAGAGCTGGGTGTTCATGGATCTCTTATGCTTCCAAAGCCCCCTCTGACTGGGGTATTTCCCCACTTTACAAGAGTATTAAAAGGAGCAAAGCATATTTCAACAGTGCAAGCCGCATGTGGTAAGTTTAACTACTGAAGCAACCAGAGCTTAGCTCTTTATTGTACTTTACCATGAAGAATCACCCCCATTCTGCTCCACATCCTGGATTTTCCCCTCCTCTTCAGCCTTTGCACCCAGCTCTTGCCGTTCCTTCGAGCATCCCTGTCCCACACAGGGTAGAATACGTGGGTAGAATAGTGTCCTCGAGAGGCTGCAGGTCCTCCATGCAGAACAGCCCATTTGCTGCTGCCGGTGGGGCTTGCTGCACACAGAGGCTTTCAGTCCCCTTTCGGTGTCTTGGCGGTTCATTGAAAACAGGCTCTGTCACCAAAGCGGTGAGCACAAAGGCTGCTGGCTACAGCCCAGACATGCCTCTGAATCCCCTTTCCGCAGAGATTAATGGGAACCAAAAAGGGAGACCCAGCACAGACTGTCAATGACCAAGCCCAGGCTGGATGGGGGCCCAGCCAACCTTCCCATGCAGAGCAGCGGGGAGCCCTCCCGCTCCGAGAAGTACCTTCCTCAGAGATGTTACGTGTGGTAACCCACCTGTGCGGTGCGACAACCCCAACTCCAACCACCCCTTCTGCAGCTAGAGGTGTTTTGGGGTAGGTTGCTCCTGTCAAGGTTGCTCCGGTGCAGATTCCCAACTCTCTGGGGCTGGGTGAGTGTTGGCGTCTCAGTCTGGTGCCATCACAACTGGATGACACAAAATGAACTTTACATACTTTATATCTCAATATTTCTGCAAAAGTGGGACGGGGCAATGCTTCCTCCATGCCTAGTATCTGCTTGAACAAGGTATCTCCTTCTATGCTCCAGCTCCTGTTGATTCATTTTGGGTGACCTTCTAGCAATACTTGCGCTTTGGACATGAATGGATTGCTCTGTAACAAAGCACCAAGTCCCTCATCCTGCCTGCAGAGGAATCTGCTCTATTTTCTGTTTGAATTTTCAGGTATAATCTAAAGATTTTGATCACTTCCTAGACTGCTGAGATCATTAAACCAGCATTTTTCATTCTTGTTAATCCAAGGCACATATAAGCCTTCAAGGGAAATACCCAAAGACCATCACAGTTTTCAGAGAACCTAGGTTCTCAGTGTAACTCTCTACCTTTCAAGTAAAAAAGTATTTAGTTCACCTTGAAATACTTAGGATGTTTACGACACCCAATTTTGTCTGCTGCTTGCATGCCTATCTTTTTTTTCTTTTTTTTTTTTTTCCCCCTTTACTCTACAATTGTTCTCAGTCTACCCTCTGATATTGTACAGCCACAGGGGGAAAAACAGTATATAGACCATAAAATATCAGTTCCTGCTCAGTGCTGAGTGTCAGGACTTGGGTGGGAATCCTCTTCTTTCATTCAGGCACAAGGTCTCTCAGGTGCCATCACACCACAGCCCAACACCTGGACAACCTCTGTTGTGTCCATCCACACAACCCAGCGTTTGCACCCATGAAGAGATGTGGTGTACGAGTCCTAAAAGCGGGATTCGGTTCTTATCACTGCAAACTGGTAAACATTTTTTTCCACATGAGGTGGGAATCTGAAGCCAGATATTGGGCGCGAGTGACCCTGCTGGTCCTACCATTATTTGCATTTAATAGGAAATAAATCTGATCACATCAACCTTGCGATAAATCTGACAGTTCCCCCCTCCCCTTCCTTCTTACAGGAGTATTTAAAGCTGGGGAGACAATCCCCTGAAATGGCTATTATCTCTGCCCACCAGTTCCCAGCTGGCTATTGTGACCCTTAATCTGAGTTAATCAGCACTACCTCAGCCTTTCAGATGGGACCTGCGTCCCTGTGCACAGCTCTCCTGCCCCACGGTGCTATCACCTCCTGCCAGCTGGACAGCTAAATGCAAAGACAGCTCCAAACATCTCCAGGGGCTGGAGCACAGTGATGCCCTGCCACATTCATGCTGGGTTTTTTTTTTTCGGCTTTGTGCATTAAAAACAACAATTACCATATAAGCAAATAAGCTGGATTCATTAGAGACAGCAAATGCCTCAGGCCTGAAGTGGTCGGGCAAGAAGCCACCAGAGCCCAGGCCAGGTGGAGGTCAGGGGCAAGTGATATATTATCTCTGGAGGCCAAGCTTGTAGGTGGCAAGGCAAAACTAAAGAAGGAAGGTTTAGGTTTAAGTGAAAGGGCAGTATGAGGAGTGAGAGGATAAAATAGTTTCTACGACCAGTGACATTGTGACAGGTAGATGACAAATCAATGTCAGACTTAAAGATGATCTCTGTCTGGGTCTGTGGAAGTCCTTGGTGGGCTTAGCCTACACCCAGTCCATGGCAAAAGAGTGGGGAGCTGTTGTCATCTCCCATGAGTAAGCCTTGAGTAAACCTCCCGTGTGAAAGCTTTGCCTAAAGGCAGCTAATCTCAGCCTTGCCTTATGTAGAGACTGTCGGGTGGTGAAAAAATGTTCCCTGAGGTGCCCACTGTGAAGTGCTGATGGCTCTCGCCTCCTGTCAAAGATGACTAGTGACCGCTCCATGATGCCACAGCAGAGCAGAGCTGGAGGCAGATGGTTTCGCTCCATGCAACAACAGGCCCAAACTTTGAGACAAGTGCTATAATTACTCCTTTATTTATCACAGTTCCCAGAGCGTGATAATTTGTGCAGAATAAAAACATCTCCTTCCAAAAAATGCATCTAGCCTTGATGTAAAGGACTTGCAGGGTAGGAGAAAGGCTTCCTCCTAAAGGTTAAGTAGCTACTTCAAAGTAGTCATCAAGGTCTCTCTTAAGTGCCCCAAGAGTTGAAGCAGTGGGCTACCCATCTTTCTCCAGAAAACACATCTAAGTCAAGGGGCTCAACTCACTCTTCAGAGGGGCCCCTTTTCCCTAGTGACTTGGGAAGGGGGCTACAGTTTCTGTCTCTGAGGAGTACACTGGACTTTCTGATGGGTGAAAGCTGAAGCTTATGAACCTCAGCTCAGGTATCTAAACCCTCACTTAGATTTCCATGACTTGATCTCCCCACGATTGGGTTTTGCTTGCTGTGGAACAGAAGAACCCAGCGGTGTCTGTGAAGGTGACACTCAGGTCATCAAGACTTGGTATTAAAAGTTTGGTTTTACCTTCTTTCTGCTCAATACCACTTGCTGAGCGCAATGTAATCCTTACCCCACTCCTGAAGAATTCTGACGGCTCTACTCTGCTCCTCAGGACCTTCACACGCTCCACCCAGCGGATCTGCTCCCACAGTCCCGTCTGCTCTGCAATGACGGCAGTGACACTGCGCAGCCCTCTGTGTCATCCCTCTGGCTCACATATCCCAGAATCACATCTCTGCTAACTGGGTCACAACGGAAAATATTTCAGCTGCTTCTCCACTCCAGCCCCCAAATCCCTCTCCGGACGCTGCTCCACAGGACCCTTCTCTAGCTCTGGGTGACATTTGTTTCTTGCCCACTTGCATCACATCTCATTTGCCTGCAATAAAAAGGCTTTTTTTTTTTTTTTTTTAACTAGGTAGCAAAGGTTACCAAGCAGTTCAGCTTGCTTTCCACAGCAGCCCTATCTTCCAGGTTATTTATAATTCTTCCAGTCTGCGTGTCATGGATAAATGTTATCAGTCCCTGAAGAACTTGCTGTCTACACCATTCATGTGATTTGTTCACAAAAAAGCTTTTTCTTCCCACTGGCTCCCATCCAAAGTACAAACATACCCAAAATAACACAACTACTGAGACAGGCAGCAGGAAAACCAAAAGGATGGGGGGGGAGGAAGGGGATGGTTTAAGTGCTAATTAGAAGTGATTGACAAACGCTGTTTTGGAGTGGGAAAAAAAAAAAAAAAAAAGTTATTTATTTTGTTTTGAAAAGCTTAAATACATAAAACTGAAACTACTGCACATGCTTTGCAGATGATCACTACTTTCTTTCTACATCTTTTGCTACACAGAGAGCCCACAGCAAGTCTGCGCATTACTGTCAACACAGCAGGGAGGTGCTTTACGTGTGGTCTGAAAAGAGTCTTCTCAGAAAACGAAGCGCGTTGTAGGGGCAGACAGTTTCACGCTTTGTGTTCTTCTGGCATGCCAAGGAAGAGCAAGAATCTGCCAAGACAAATAATTTTTCGTTTTCTCTGGAAATACTCTTTCCGTCATGCCAAAAGTTTCCCCATCCTTAAGTTGAGTTTGAATGATCCAAGCACCTTCTCTACACCGACTTGGCCACGATGCCATGTAACAGTTGAAGGTACCATTCCCTGCAGACAAAAAGCAATACCTTAAACTTCCTACTTGCTTAGACTGAGAATTCAGGTACCTCAGACAAAGGCTGGGACAACTCAAAGATGGGTTTCCAAAGCTCCTCTGATGCTCCATCAACAATATACTTTTGGAATGCCATGAAGCAATATGCACAAACAAAATCCCGGCAGCAAAAGCACTCAGGGTGAATATTTATAAATGAAACCAAGGTAAGTTCCTTCCCTAACCCTCCCCTGCACGCCCATAGCTCACAGCCCTTACAAAATACAAACACATTTCAGTGGTACAATGAATATCAGGACCAAGAAGGAGGCAAACATTTTAGCATCTATGCCACAACTTCCACCACCATGTTACACCTATAGCAACACACCACACATGTCAAAAGCACATGAGAAAGCTGCTGAGAGTATCTGCTACCCTTTTGAGTGCGCTTACTTCTACAGGAATAAGGTGTGAAGTACAGCAAGAGACTCCCAGGAGGCATTAGGAAAATCAGGAAAGACTGTGGAAAGAGAAGTTGTAAGTGCAACTGGAAAACTCTTTCCTCTCAAGGCTCTTGCTACACCCAAATATATTACCACACTCATTTTTCAAGGACAAGAGCAGAAAGAGCTGTCAGCAGCCAAGTGAGATACGTCTGTGTTCACAGCCCTATTCCAGATACCCTAGACAAGGCAGAAATTTGGCATGAGGACCATCCCTTTGATAAGGCCTGACTCCTCACGGTGCCCACCATCCTCTGCTGGGCAGATGCTCAGCGCGTGCCCCTGCAACCTCTGGGTGCGCTCACTCTCGAGACACCAGCAGAGTTTTCCAAAGTGCAGACCAAGAGGACGGACATGCTAATGGGACATTCTGCGGAGAATTAAAAACCTCCTTGGCCATACGAATCATGGGTTGAAGTGGAGATACACACTTTGAAGGGTCTCCCGTACCGAAGCGGTGAATTGCTTAAGGCACAGGGGAACAGTAAGAGATGGACTGTGACTCGTGGTCCTCAGGAAATCAGGCTGTAGGAAGATAAAGGTCTGTCTGGCCCTGACAGCTATCACATCATGGGTTGATGTGCTTCTACTTTCTCTTGTGCCAATTTAACTGAGGGAAAGGTGCCGCTTTCTCCTGAAATCACCATTAAATGACCCAAGAGAGGATGCAATTTGATTGCAAATAAAATTGCCTTTTACCAGCATAAATTTTTTTCTCTCCTCATGGGAATAACCGATACGAGCATTGAATCTCCTTTATATTGCTTTAAAGGACACATCGTGCTGCTCCTGATCTGACAAAAGGGCTAACCCCCACCCCCATGCACAGGCCTCAAAAGAGAAATTGGGGCCGAAAACGTCCAAATAGTGCACTTCGATGAACGAAACAGCCATGATAGCCCTGAGACTTTACAGACATGACTGTGAGGACCGTAAGGTACATTTCATGCAGTGAAACATCTTGCTTGTCACTTGGCCAATGGAAGAACACGCATTCCCTAAAGAGAAGAGGAGATCGTTGCTCCGCGGCTGCAGCCAGTTTTGGTTCTTCAGCAGGGGCTTCTTTTTGCCATGTTTTACAGGCAAGCCTGATATCATCACGGAGAAGAGTTGACCTTGTCAGACTTGACAGAAAACAGAAGTACTAGAGGACGACATAAAAAAACAGGTATATAGGAGAAACAGGCAAAACCAGGAGGTTTAAGACAATTAAAATGCCCTGAAAAGGGAAGTGTCTGGGCCAGTGGACATTGTAGTTTCCTCTACTTCAGGAAGAAGTCATCACTGGGGAGAGGAATAAAGGTGCAGAGGAAACAGCAGCCAGCCAGCAGCCTGCTGTAGAGAGGTGCACCCTGCAACGTACAAATAATGGGAGTTTTTAAGAGACTCCACTCTACGTTTGGCAGCCACCAAGTCCCTAATTGAACAACATGAACATCTACACGGAGCCATCAGAAATTTTCAGTTCCAGTCATGGTCTAAAGACACTGACACCAAAAGCTATGGCTATTCTATCAAATCAAATGTACTCAGGATCATTTCTGGACCTGAGACCACCGGCTTGGAGCAACGCAGTCTGTGTAATTAAACACTTGCCCTCCAAATGAGCTGCACATTCAGGCTCCCAGGGACTCTGTATCAAATCTGTTAAATATTGTTTATTTTAATACGTGATAGCATACTCCAGAGTCACACCGAGCCAGCTGCGACGCTGTGGCTACCATGCTTCAGGTCTTCATGCTTAATTCCCACACATTAATCTTCCCCCTACCTCCGCTCTCGGAAGGAGGAACTCTTGGCTACGTGGTTCACCTGCCCTCTTGATGACAAAGAGGCAGTGTGACAGCAGTCCGACCACAAAACGTGTCTGAAAAGAGACAGCACTCTGTGCTTTAGGGGAACAGACCCTCATACAGCATGTGCAGAATGGAGAGCTTGGACTATTTATCCAGGTTTTGGGGAATTCAGTGGAGAATTTTTCTTGGGATGTCAGCTTTGAACTCTCAGTCTCAGATCTCATTTGTAACGGGACGGTTTGTGTATGTTAATGACCATTTAGGTCACCACCGTGGTTTGACACAGGGTTCTACAGAGCTAAATGCACAAACAGTTGACAGCTTTAGCTAAAGATTTGGATCCTGTAACTCTAAGTGTTACTGCAACAGCCTTGGGCGTCAGAAAGCAGCAAATACATGTCCTTGCAGGACAGTGAGCCTCTGTCAACAGCATAACAGAAAACTATAATCTACAGCCAGGAAAACCTAAGTAAAGGTCAAATTCAGTAGTTCCAGGGGCTGCAAGGGTACTTGAATCCTACTGCGGCAAGGTCTGCGATGTAGCTTCGCACAACCCAGCACCCTTCCCTCCTCTCACCTAGACCAGCATCAAAGCCATTGGCTTCACCAGGCCAGGAAAAAGAAAACAGAGGTTGCTCGGAGGCTGGCTGGAGCACTTCATCTTCAGTGGCTTGTATTGTCCTTCCCCTCACAAAGGTGAGATGTCTGTCTGCGTACTGCGTGGCCACTGTCTCAAGGGGAGGCTCTGGGCGGGAGGTGGCTGCAGGTGGAGCCCCGTGGTCATCTGTTCATGCGCTGCAGGATGGTCACGCAGCCGTGATAACTGGTGCAGCGCTGCAGCGGCGGCTGCTGCTCCACCTTCCCCGTTACCGGGTCGAAAGTGAACGCTTTGTCCGTGCCTTCCCCGTTCTCGTCTCGGCCACCCAGGATGTAAATCTTCCCTCCACACACCGTCAGGCCACAGCTCTCCTGGAAAGCAGAAGGAAAGCGCAAGAGCTGAGGAGCAAGCCTCCGGCTTTAGGGGCTGAGTGGGGAGTGGGGCTTTGCAACAGGCTCAACCCTCACCCGCCCAGCAGAAGGGAGCAGAAGTAGGGAAGTGATGTCTGGCTCTTGGGGTGGTGCAATCTTACTGTTTCAGTGAGAATTTAGGCACTTTAAATGCCTCAGGCCATTGATGGGACTGCTGCTGTTTCTGGCAGTTCCCCCAGACTCACAAGCCCACCAAGAGACCAGAGACCCAGCAGCCAGCACCTCCCTGTGAAAGCCACTTATGTGGGTCCACTGACAGGGACATTTTAATTCAGATCAGTTTGAGACGTGTCCCGTCGTTCCTCTTCAGCTGTGCCACAGCTCACGTTGCAGAATGGCTTTGGAGTGCAAAACTGTGAGGACAGTAAACCAAGATACGCAAGACCAGCACCAGTCCTTGTTCAGTCCGAAGACCAGACCAGAACCAGCATAACCCTCACCCAGTCCAAAGACCAGACCAGACCCAGCATAACCCTCACCCTGAAACACGTGATGTGAAGAACAAGTCCTCAACACAAAAGGTTTCACCGCACAGATCCTCTCCTCTGGCACTAATATCTAGTGTAGACCCAGCCTCAGCAAGAAAACTTGGGTTTGCTGAGGTAGAGACATCCTCCAAAGAGTATGGACACTGACAGTGAGTACATATATGTTTAAGTTGCTCTACAGAGGTCACATTCACATACTAAGAGCCAAACAGATAATGTATTTTCCTTGCCTTCAATCTCAGCAAAGCACAGATGGCTGCTCTTCTAGAGAGAGGGGCAAGGCTGAGAGTTCTTTTCTAAACTTCTTCCTTACCAGAGGCCCAGGGAGGGTGGCCACTTCTCGCCAGCTGTCTTTCCTCGGATCATAGCTGAAGATTTTACTGAGAAGTCCACCTACAACATAAATAATGTTGTCCAAGCAGACAGCACTGATGCACCTCTGGTAAAAAGGGGTGGGAGACAGGAGCGTCCACTTGTTGTCCTCTGGATCGTAACACTGGACCTGGGAGGAGAAACGCAGCAATGGGAACATGAATCTACCACATTTCCCCGCTCGGATGAAGCTGCTATTCGTTAGAAACAAAAACGAAACATGGATGGGAGCTTCAACACCCAGAGATCAGTGCAGTGAGCAAAGGGATGAGGGGCTCTAACATTCCCTCTTGCATTCAAGTCTGCCAGACAAACTACAAGCCCACACAGTGACCCAGGCAGTGCACGGTTAAGTGTTCAGAGATGGACTGAAGAAACACTGATGGCTCTTCCTGAAGCTCAGGAGACCAGAAGCACCATGTCTGGCTTGCAGACATCTCCTCCACACAGTTACTACTGCTGCTAATTATTTGAAGTGAATGGACACAGTGTTGGAAGTTTGCTCCTGTGGTGTCTCAGGGCTCACCAGGCTTCAGAGCAGAACAGGTTCTACTGAAACGGTGCCTCACATACTGTCAAATCCTGACAGCTCCCCACTTTGGCCCCTAAGCTTCATTGGCTTCCATTTAACCGTATGACTTATCATAAGACACCCTTCATTAGTCTTAAAAAAAGGCACCTTTGTAGCTTAAGGACAACCCCGTTTCCCTCTATGTCCCCTGGCAAACCTTCTTTTTTAGGCCTTTGGCATTGTTGATGCCCCAGCGGTACCTTGTCGGTGTTAGCGGTGTCATCCACAGCACCACCCAGCACGTAGAGCTTGTTCAGGCAGGAGACCACAGCCGCCGAGCTCACGGCTTGTGGCAGCGGGGCCAAGGTTGACCAGCTGTTGGAGAAGGTGTCATAGCACTCCACACTGGAGAGGCGGTAAAAACCATCAAAGCCTCCCACAGCATAGATCTGCCACAAAAAGAGTAAACAAGGCGATTAGAAACTCCTGGACTCACCTAACAGGCTATGCTGTCACGGCATGTGTGAGAGGAGGCTGGGACTTGGCCAGAAGGACAGACACCAAGCAGTGATAAAACCTTGGGGTTGGACTAGATGACCTTTAAAAGACCCTTCCAACCCAAACCATTCTACGAAACATCCTCCACTGTGTAGCTTTCACCCAAAGACTTAACACAGCTATTTCAGAAGTCTTTCGCCATCCCACGTGTCGTTGTTTAACCCACCAGGCACCTAAAAGCCACAGCTGGTTGCTCACTCCAACCCCCAGTGGGATGGGGGGGATAATAGGGGAAAGAAAAAAAATATTTGTGGATTGAGATAAAGACAGTTTAATAGGACAGAGAAGGAAGGGGGGGGTGGGGGGGGGGAATTGAATTAGAATATACAAAACAAGTGATGCACAGTGCAATTGCTCACCACCTGCCAACTGATGCCCAGCCAATTTCCGAGCAGCAGCCACCAGCCAGCTTTCCCCCTGGTTTATACACTGAATACGTTGTCATATGGTATGGAATATCCCCTTGGCCCGTTTGGGTCAGCTGTCCTCGCTGTGTCCCTTCCCAACTTCAGGCGCCCCTCAGCCTTCTCGTGGGCAGGCCAGCACGAGAAACTGAAGAGTCCTTGACCACTGCTTAGCAACAACTGAAACAGCAGTGTGTTATCAACATTATTCTCATCCTAAATCCCAAACACAGCACTCTACCAGCTACTGGGGAGGAAATTTAACTCTCTCCCAGCCAAAACCAGGACAACATGGTAGATCTTATTGCTACAACTTCATTTTTGACTACTTCAGATGACAACACGCACCCAACAGAAACCAACGGCATCTTGGCTATGTCCTAGTTGCTCTCCCATCAAAACCATCTCCGAGTGACCCAAAAGACAAACACACACTGAGAGTTACTCATTGTACCGGGGAAAAGTGCTCCACGTGGCTTCTCCCAAAATTCGGGCTACTGCCTACCTTGCCCTGAAGCGTTGCCATTTTGTGCCTCCATCGGCCCTTCTGCAGACAAGCAACCTTGATCCAGACGTTCAGCTGGGAGCTCAGCACCCAAACATCGTTGCTGCTGATGTGTCCTCCTGAGAAACAGAGGGATGGAGGTCTGGTGCAATCCCAAGGACAGCACCACCGCCTCGTTACACCACAATATTGCACAATTCCTCCACGCAATGGAACAGTTTAGGCCAGAATATGGTAACTGGGTTATGGCCACGTAAACCAAGTTTCCCAAGGGAGGTATCATCTGGACTTCAAGACACTTATTACACTGCCTTATCCCTTATATAGAACTCATACAATAGGCATTATATTTTAAGTGAGGGACAGGCAAGAGACTGTTTTAGGAAACCCTGTCTGAGAGCATACACCAAAACCAGCTCATTGCACAGCTGAACACTTTTGACCGATACCCAACGAACAAGAGGGAAAGGCTTTTTTATTCCTACAATCCTCCCTCTCAAAAGGTGAAATTGTTCCTTGGGAACAGCAAAATCCAAACCACCTAAGGATAAACTTCACCAAGAAGTGACTTTGGACCCAAGCTAGGATGCATGAAACCTGGTGATAGACCTAAGCAGTGGCTGTCCAAGCAGAGGTCGTGCTGTTCTTTGCAACCAGGAAGGGACCATCTGGTCCAGGGTATCTCACCTGATATGTACACATCGTTCTTCAGTGTGCAGGCAGCAAACTCTGACTTGGTATAGCCAGGCACGCTGGAGAGGGCTGTCCACTGCCTGCTTTTTGGGTGGTAGAGGTCTGTGAAGGGCAGCTTCAGAAGGCCTTTCTTATCACAGCCCCCAATGACGATGATGACTTCTGCCAGCTCCATGAACCTAGACCATGAAGGGCACGAGTAAGTCCCCGGGCCAGGCTGCTCCTTTCCATCACCCCTCCCATCCTATCTAGGACACTGGCAGCATGGCCCCATGCACAGGGCAAAGTCCTCTCCTGCGTCACCTACTGATGTTCAGGGCAAGACATTTCACCCCTGCACCTTCTCTTTTGTCTGCACAATCAATTCAAAGGCACCTCCCAGCTTGGGTGGGAAGAGGTCCAGACTGCGTAGGGAAAGAAAATGGGAATGACCTTTAGAAGTCCCTTGTGAGATTGCCTCCTGCCACTCACCCTCCCCCTTCCAGCACAATCAAACCTCATAATCTTCAAGGCACAGCCACGAGTGTGGAAAGCTGTTCCTGGCAGCCTGCCTGCAGCAAGCTCTCTGCCTGGAGAGAGAAGTGTTTCCAGGAAATATCTTTCTCTCCAGCCCTAATAGTAGCAAGCAGACGAGACAGACAGCAGGGGAAGGAAAATCCTGCCAACTAGTAGGTGGCAAGAGAGGAATGGCTCTGCAGGAGGGGAGAGGAAGGAGGAGGGTGAAAGAGGATTTGAAAGACTTGGTCCAATTCCCAGCTCTGCCACAGTTTGTGCAGGCTGAAAAAATTCAAGAACAAAGCTGTAAAAGGAGGGAGGGATAATGTGGATGCTGGGGAGGGCGGGGTGGGGTGTTTATCCCCAGTGAATTTTAGCTGTTTGCACCCTTGAGGAGGTCACCACAGACCCTGTCGTTGAGCAGTTCTGTATATAACAGCCTGTTGTGATGTTCAGCAGAGATGTGTCAAACCTGACAGAATCATGCCCTAAATGCCAGGCTGGGACTTCTGAGATGCACTGGGGCAACCTCCCTCCTGCCCAGGATGCTCCACTCCTTGGGCTGAAGAGCAGAAGACTGTAAGAACCTGGCCGTGCAGCCCCATGGTCACGGGCGTGCTCTGGAAAAGGATGGCCCTCCTTGCAAACCGACTCGGTTTGATGTAGCAACCCACCCCAGAGCAGCGTTCTCAGTCAGTGCTCTGACCAAGCACACCCTAAGGGACCTCTGGCACCAAGAAGAAACAGCAGAGACTTAAAACATGGCTGGTCAAATCCAAACTTCACAGTCACAAAAAGGTGCAGATTTCTACACACATCCAACCCTAGAAATCAGTTCTTTCCCCGCCTCCACCTTTACTCTGGCAGCTGCCTGCGTCAGCATCTCTTTTTCTTCTTGCTGTTATCAATAAATCAATGGAAAGAAAAAAGGAATGAAAAACCAATTTGGAGATGCCTGGGCAGCCATCTGGACAGTAACTGCTTTTTTTTTTTTCTTTTCCTGGACATTAATTTTTGACGCTGCAGCACCGTGCTGATGGCCAGGAGGACTGCAACTGGCCCAAGCCTTCCAGCTAACAGACAGCCTGAAGAAGGTGGAGGAGAGACTAAAAGAGGTGAAATGAGAGCAGACCAGTGGCAGAGCTGGGAATGGAAAACAGGCCTCAACCCAGCGCTCTACCCACTGGTGAAAGTGGATAGAAATAAAGAGCGACAAACACTCTTTCCTGCCCATAGTCTGGACATAGATCTGGATAGCATCGTTGCACACCCAGAGCAGTGTGACTAGAGCTCTGATGGCCAACAACAACAACAGCAAAGTGTCACATGCAGTACTACAAATTTCACAGGAATCCTTTAAGCCAGGCAAACCTCCCCAGTGCCTTCATTTTGGAAACAGGGAGGCCAGAAGAGAAGCAATCGGAGGGAAAAAAGAAAACAAAGAAACAAACAAACAACCCAAGAACTCCCCTCGGACTTTAAGATCCACCATCTTAGACCGTGCTGGTCTAGGGAAGAAGATGATGTGTTTTACCTCCTGGGCCTTGATCGCAAAGAGCTGACCTCGTTCCCGAGGATGTAGTACTTGCGGGCCTCGTGCAGTAGAGGAATGCACTCCTTTGAGTCCTGGATGAGTCCGTCCATTTCCACCTTCTCCAAGAAGTAGGTGGGGTCAAGCAGGGGCAGACGCACATGCTCGAGGAGATCTTTCAAGGCTCCCTTCCTGGCGGGTACGTCATGCCGTACCCAGCGCATGACTGCTTCAAAGACCGCTTCCTCCTTGGGGACCACCAGCTGCTCATCGGACAGATACTCAACCAGCTCCTTCACACCCATCTCCAGAAACTCTTCATGACACGACACCTCCACAAAACACTCCAGCATGAACCTCTTGCTCTTTTCTGTCAGAGACGCAATGGAAAATGAATCGGCAAACTTCATGATGCCCAAACAATTGCATGGGTGAAGCTGACCTTCGAGGAAGGTGACGCAAGCATCCCTGAGCTTGGAGATCTGCAGCAAGTCAGACAGTTCCAAGATGCCTTCAACGTTGTCCTCCTGAATGATGATGTTCCCCCCATACATATAATCAAGAAGGAGAGACATAGTGGAAGCAGATATCTTCTGGATATTAATGATATCTTGGTGGCCTTCCTTGAGGTCGCCACCAAACATGGCTCGGAAATACGTGCTGTTGGCTGACAAAGTGGCACGGTGACAGGGAAATTCTTGTCCATCAATTAATAACACCACATCTGTGAAGATGCCGCTCTGCCGGTAGGAGTTCAGCGTCTGGAGGATTTGCTCAGCGTGGCAGGACCCACTGCAGAGCTTCATGTGCAGCTTTTCTTTGCTTGGGTCCCGTGTCACATTCTCCAGGCTGCTTGTCCTGAAACTTGATTCTTCTTTCATCATTCGATGCATCCTGATTGGGAGGCAGTGAAGGACACAAGAGAACAGGACGCTATTAAAATATCTGACTGCAAGGTCCAACACCATCATGGTGTCTGCATCTTCCTCGGTGCCACGAGGAAGTACAGATTCTAGCCAAAAAATAATCACGTTCTACCCTTTCACCTGCACACATGGCTCCTCTTCGGTGACCAATATTTCTCCAAACCACAGCACAGTGACAGGCACTAGGATATTTCCAATCAAACCCCATCTCAGTACACCAACTTTTGCTTTTAAGTGATTTTTCTTCTAAGGCCTTGCCCAACCTATGCTCTGCTACCACTTCAACGCCCTTTCCTTTCCATCTCATAGCTCTTACTAACTGGTTTCCCCCATCCTCTCAAATGCAAGCACTCCACAGTACAGCCCAGCTGTGCCAGGAACAATGCAGTATTTTGACTTTTTCTCCACGACATCTCCCCAGATTTTGTGTTCCAGGCATATCCCAAAGTAAGGATGTGAAACTGAGATTTGCCAAAGGTAGCTATGATGTGACCTGTCCAAAAGCAGGAGGGGATGTCTACATCTGACATACCTTTCCTGCTAGATTCGTTCTCCAGAGGATTTTAAATCTTTCCTAAAGGATTTCATGAAGTGATTGCAATGAAGCACAGCAAGACTTCTCTCATTCAAGCTCTAACGGATCACGCTGACAGTGTGAGCAGCAGGACCCATCCCTATAGGACAGGGCAAGTCCTGTGCTCAGCCTGGAGGCTGCAAATAGCTGCACATCCAAAAGGGGTGATCCCTGCTCAGGTCAGGGGGAGGCAGCCAGATCACCTGTAAGGTGCAACCCACCCCTGGGGAGAAGGGTCTCTGCCTACAGAGGAAGGTCTGAAAAGTGGAGGCTCATTGTGGTATTGAAATAGCGACAAGAATTGACTATTTCTGACACCACTAAGTGAATCAAGGACCCCAAACTCTCAACTCCTGCCTCGATCATCCTAGACCCACTAACAGCTTGGTGTTGCTACATTCGCTTCTCCCTAAGAGCCTGCCCTGCCCCATCACTGCTGCACAAACCCAGATGCTGAGGGGGGAAAATAGCGAGGAGGGGATTGAACCTGGGTCTCCCTGTGCTTTCACCAGCTGGATATTAAATAAAGGGGCACAGCAATGCCATCACGTGTGTTTTATCAGCATGGCAGAGGGTCAGCACCACTCCTTGAGGGGGGCGGTGTGGGGTGTGTGCCAGTGAGGGCCATCAGCAGAGCACTCCTGGTCACAGCTTCAAGCCATGCAGGCTTTAGATTGCTTTTCTGAGGCTCTGTAACAAAGAGACAGTTTGTGGGGGTCGCTCAGACTCTGCTCTTAAGGGCCCCCCAAGTCAGGCTCTGGAACATCACCCACAAGCCTCTGGCAGGAGCACAGGTTCCCCCTGGGGTGACAAGTTGCCAGACACGGGTGGCTTTGTGGTGTCCACACACTCCCCTGCAGTAAGGCAAGTAGCGCATCCCTCGAAGAGGGTTACCTTGAATTTCTCACAAGTCAAAAATCCCTGCCGTTGCTCTACTCCATCACTTCTCCTACATCTGTATCTCCCGGACAGCCATCGTGTCTGACCACAGACCCCAGAGGAGACCCCATGCTCCAGAGGACACTGGAGGACACTGCCTGCCTGCACCAGGGGAGCTGTGTGTAGGACAACCAAACCTAGTCCTGAGGATCTTCACCCCACCACCCCAAGAAAGCGTCACCATATCCTTTGTGCCTCCAGAACCCCCCAGCAATGGGGAAAACACCTCTGCCCATGCCACGGGGGAGATAGAGACCTAAAGAGTAGTGAAGCAGCGCGACCAGCCCTAACTAAATAGCTAAAAAATCCTGTGGGAAGAGGCGAGGGCACTAAACACCCCGAACAGCCCTGACAGGTGCACAGGGCTCCGTGTACAGAAGGGAACCGCTGCTGGTTCAAAGTGATTTAGAGAAGTTACGACAAAGGCAGCTCTCTAGAGACGCCTTTGCAAAGAGCACGGCGGACTCCGCGTTTCGCCGGCACACGCGGCTCCAGCCAAGAAAGAAAAACACATCCATGTCCCCACTTCTCTCCGACTTCCAAGCCACCAGAGTCACGCACAGCTCCGTGCTGGGAAGAAACAGCTCAGGCTGACCTCCTTACAAAGAGACACACCCCCCTCTGCTCCCCAATTAATCCCAGTGTCCTTCCCCAGTTCACATCCCTCCTGTCTACCCATATGACACATGATGCCAACACCAAAGAAACAGCGGGTTTGCCCCATTACCCTCACTCATGCACAATCCTCTCTGGGGGGTCACACTCTCCACCCAAGTACCATACAGCAGCAAATGCTGCATTTTTAATTTTTTTTTTTTTTTTTAACAAGCCTCCCCAGCTGCTAGCGCAGTAAGTCCAACATTACCTGGCCTACAGGTTGTGTTCTCCAGGTGGGACCTAGCGAAGACTCAACTTCCCTCTCGGAGAGCTCCCATCCATGGAGACAGGTCCCTTCACCAAAGCACGCTCAGCCCTTCTGCGGCAAAGCTTGGGGAAGCACAAAAGCATCCCCTTTATCCTTGCTGCTGGAGAGGTGGGGGAGAAATCCGCTTTTGTTTCTCCTGAATGACATGCCAGAGAGCTACAGGGCATTAGCCATGCAGCTGTCAATAACAGCCAGCCAGGGAGGAGCCAGGACCTAGGGAAAACCCATCGCAGCTCAGAGAAAATATATCACACCAGGGCAGCTTAAGAGGGCTGAGCCATCTGGAGAGCAAATTGAGGCCCAGGTGGAACGATTCATTTGATAGAGACTAGAAACCACACTAAAGCCGATAAATAAAATACGGCTCTGTGAGCAAAAGGATGCCTGGAGCAGGAAAGGACTGGGTCAGGGAGGAGCTGCAGTCCCCCTCATTAACATGTGATAATTAGGTAATTAGGTCCTTGAGGATGAAGAGGACAGAAGGGGAGGTTTGCCCCGTGTGGCTTTCTGCACCCTCCCCTCTAACTTGATCCCAGTTGTCAGCTGGATTTTTAAATGCTCATAGCAGGGATCAAAGCAGCCCTGGGGAAGCTCCACGAAGTAACCCTTGTGCTGAAGATCATCGAACCCCTAATGTGATGCAGCCAGCCTTCCCTCTCTCACCCAGCATCGCTTTGAACAACTTGTGTTATGTCATGCCAGACACAAGAGAAATATTAATAACAACCCGCCCTTGCACGCTGTCATCCTAGTGAAATCATCTTTTTGCTGGGCACCACCACTGCGTTTGCTGGCTGGCTCCCTTCTGCTCCTCTCCCATCGCTGGGATGCAGGGCACAAGCTGGCATCCTGCTTACTCCCAACATTTGCATATGAATCACTGGCAACCTGGAAGGGACTGTGGTTTCCCAGCCTGTGCAGTGGGCTGGGGGATTTGCTTTTAGGACCTTTTACCCTGATAGAGTCGGCACTGCCAGGCTGCACTGACCAGGGGGTGCAACCACATCTGCACAAGGATGGAGCTAGAGATGGTGGGGAGTGGGTCATCAGGACAAATGGCAGCACAGTACTGATTCGACCCTGTGGGGCACAGCAAAAAGGTCTTCAGAGCGCTGGAAGCTCTTCAGCGAGGTTGCAAAGCTGTCAGCTCCTGCAAGCTGTAAAGCACGGGACTACCAATTTGTTCAAAACCAAACCCCACCTTCAAGAAGGATATGGAGCCCCAAGGGTGGAGGGAAGCAGCTACTAAGAGTCGTAAACACAATGAGAAGGCTTTGCAGGGTGCAGCTGTCCCCAGGCCCAAGCCATGTAACAGATTTCTACCTCCAGACTGCACTGCACTTGGCCCTGGGTCTCCCCATGTGATGCCACTGTGCCCCAAAGTGGGGTCCCCATGCAAAGGCTGTGCTACAACCCACACTTGTGGCCTTTTTGTGTGAAACAGAGGGTATTGGATACCCCATAGAGCTGCAGGACTTGGGGGGGTGTTTGAAAGGGGCTCTGCTAGGCACCCCCAGAAGGATGCCTTATGCAGGAGCAGGAGTTGAAGCTGTCCTTTGCTCCCGGGTCTTCTCTCAGGGTAGATATAGTCAGCAGAAGCAGTGATCTTACAGGGGATTGGGACTAAAAATCTCTTCTTCACATTAAAAATGCTCAGCCCCTGGCACATGGCCTGTGGAAGCCATTAGGCACAAAGCCACAAGCATTAAAGAGATGCAAAAAGCAAATGCAAGTATAGAGAACCAGGAACCCCGGGTGCCTGCTGGGGAAAGCCCTCTGTGAATGCAGGACCAAAGCTCCCTGAAGGAGCAGCAGAGGATCCATGTCAGGAGGAATAGGGAGAAGGGACGCAGCTAAACTGAAGAGAAAACAAGTAAAAAAGAATTGAAAGGACAAGAGGAAAGAGTTCTGGATAAATCAGGTAACAGAGGCCACAGCAGTGAGATGTCTTGAGGGAGACAGCCACTAGGACTTGATCACACTGTGGTCTGTACCTCCCCACCACATGGCCAGGAGAAGGAAACGCATCCTGTCCAGGACAGCAGTCTGTGCGCTCCTGCCACCACCACCCATGGCCCCACCTTGCCATGGAGTCAGGACACTGCGGCAGCTGCCCCCCCCAATGAAAATAGGGCTGCTGGGCTGCTGAAGGGCAGCAGCTCCTGACTGCCTTTGCTCTCGGGGCTTCACGGTGTCGGGGCCTTTGGCCAACGGGAGCCGCTATTGACTCCGGGTCAGATTCATCCTGGGTATAAATGGAGTCCCCTGGGGGAGCCATTCTGAGCTCGTCCCCCGGAGCTGCGGCCAAGGCCTCTCCCCTGGGGTCAGGACGCTGCCCATGGAAACTCCTCGAGGCGCCTTCGGTCTGGACACTGCCCGGAGCAGGTCCTCAAGGGTGAGAGCCCTCACTTGTCAGTGAGTGAGAGAGCATGTCGGGGTGTCCTTAAACCCGAGGAAGTCGTTCTCTTCTCCTCTCACAGACATTAGCACCTGTAATTTATGGAGAACTAGTTAAATGTGTTAACAAATTTTTAATTTTTGGCGGTTGGTGGTTTATTTGAGACCCTCCGTAACAGACACCCTCTTTTCACCCTCAGCCAGTTAGCAGAAGTGAGGGGCAGTCACACACCAAGTACATGCTTAAGGGCAGAGAAGTAACAGAAACACAGTCCAGAAGGAAGAGAGGGAAAAAAAATAAGTCTTAAGAGGGAAAAAACCCAAATTGGTTTCTTATTTCACATGTGGTCAATACTCCCGTTGAGCTTGAAACCTGGTCAGGAGTTTCAGGAAAGAAGAGGGGAAGGGGAACCAGCTTTCAGCCTCATGCTGCTGCTGCTCACATCGTGGCTTGACCTTTCATACTGTTTGAACATCAAAAGCTCTTAGCCACTGCAGCATATTGAGTTGCTGAGAAGGGCTCCGAGGAGGAGGACAGTGGTGGGGGACCCTCCTGAAAGCATCAAACACCCACAGCAAAACCGCAAGATGTGAAGGCAGAAGCCCAGGGAGGAGGGAGAGCCTCGAGTCGCCTCCCCCCTGAGCAGGAAGAGGGAGCTGGGAACGAGGGCAGCGGGGACTCAGGGTGGGCAGAGACTGGAGTGACAGCGCCCAACGTCCCTCACGGACATGAGCAGCTCCAGGGAGCACGAGTGACCAGGAGCACAGGAACAGGGCGAGCAGATGGGGTGCAGCCCCCTTCCAGTGTCTAGAACTTATCTGAGATAGTTCCTTCTTACCGTCCTCTACAAGTAGACTCAACCATGGTCTGCACTCGGGTCAAAACCACCACCAGAAAGAACGTGGTGACCCAGAGGGAGCTGCCACGCAAACACGCAGCGGTGCGGGCCCCGGCTGCAGGGAGTGCCTGAGCCCCTCGGTCCTGCCGGGGGGCAGCAGGGACAGCACCCGTGTGCTGCCGTCGGCTGGGGGACCTGCTCAGCCTGGGGAGGGACTCAAAGAAGAGGTCGAGAGATTAAGTATTAGGGAGTGTGAAAGGGAGATTGATTGGTGGAGCAGCACCTCGGCACCCCTAAAGCAACAGGAGCAAGTGGAGGCTCCAGAGGAGGCGGGTGATCCCTCATCTCTTGCTACTAGGCAGAAGGAGGGGACCTAAGAGACAGGGGAGGCTGGAAACAGGGTCCCCAACTCAGGGAGGCAGGAAAATGCTTCCCCAACCTCCAACACCCTCCATGGTGCCCCTTCACAATAGATTCAGGGCCCTGGAACTTTTGAATGAAGAAGACAAGGAGGAAGAAAATGAAACAAATGAGGAAGACCAAGGTCCACCAAGGCTGGGTCACTCTAGATCAGGTACTGAAACCAGTTCTGAGAAGAACTGCAGAAGAGTCACTGTAGTGGGGGACTATTCTGAGGGGTGTCAAAGGCCCCCTATACAGACTGGACCCGCTTCATAGGGAAGTCTGCTGCCTCCCTGGGGCCTGCATCAAGAAAACACGGTAACAAGTGACAAGGAGAAGGCTGAGGTCCTTAATGCCTTCTTTGCCTCAGTCTTTAATAGCAAGTCCAGTGGTATTGAGGGAATCCAGCCTCCTCAGCCAGAAGATAGAGACTGGGAGAATGACCCCCCACAATCCAGGAGACAGTCAGTGACCTGCTGCATCACACAGACACACACAAGTCTGTGGGACCAGACGGGATACACCCGAGGGTGCTGAAGGAGCTGGCTGGGTGCTCGCCAAGGCGCTTTCCATCATTTACCAGCAGTCCTGGCTGACCAGGGAGGTCCCGACTGATTGGAAATTGGCCGATGTGACGCCCATCTATAAGAAGGGCTGGAAGGATGATCCGGGAAATTACAGGCCTGTCAGCTTGACATCGGTGCCCAGGAAGCTGATGGAGCAGCTCATCCTAAACACCATCACACAGCACATGTGGGACAACCAGATGCTCAGGCCCAGTCAGCGGGTTTATGAAAGTCAGGTCCTGCCTGACAAACCTGATCTCCTCCTATGACAGGGCGACCTGTTTATTGGATGAGGGAAAGGCTGTGGGTGTTGTTCACCTTGACTTTAGCAAGGCCTTTGACACCGTTTCCCACAGCATTCTCCTGGCAACACCGGCTGCTCGAGGCGTGGATGGGCACAGGCTTTGCTGGGTAAAAACTGTCTGAGGGCCGGGCCCGGAGAGTTGTGGTGAGCGGAGTTAAATCCAGCTGGCGGGCGGTCAGGAGCGGTGTCCCCCAGGGCTGGGTGCTGGGGCCGCTCCTGGTTAACATCTTTACTGGTGATCTGGACGAGGGGGTCGAGGGCACCCTCAGTCAGTTTGCAGGTGACCCCCGGTTGGGTGGGAGTGTTGGTCTGCTCGAGGGTGGGGAGGCTGCAGAGAGACCTGGCCAGGCTGGAGCCACGGGCTGAGCCCGACTGGGGGAGTTTCACTGAGGGCAAATGCCGGGGGCTGCCCTTGGGCCACAACAACCCCCAGGGGGGCTCCAGGCCTGGGGAGGAGTGGCTGGAGAGCTGCCGGTCAGAGAGGGACTGGGGGGTGAGAATGAGCCAGAGTGTGC